GGGGGGTCCCGGAGGGTCACGGTGACGGAGCCCTCGGTCGGGGGGAAGCGGGCGCAGCGCGGCCGCGGCGCCGCCCGTGACGGGCGGCGGCGGCGGCGGCATCCACGCGGCCGCGTCTGGGGCGATGAGGAGGACGCGCGCGCGGAAGGACTCCAGGCTGTGGCGCACCGTCCAGTTGGGGGCCAGGTCCCGGTTAGGCAGCGCTTCCCGGGTTAGTGGGTCGGTTTGGTGGGTGATTAACCAGGGTTCGATGGCGGAGCGCTCATACGTGTGGCCTCGGGCGTTGACAACCGGGTCGACGAAGAGTTCCCCGGTGATCCCGCATTGCAGTTCCGAAGGGACGTCATCGCCCAGTGAGTCGACGAACGCGCCAACCGGGTCGATCTGAATGGGCGCCATCGCGGCCCGCGGCGCGCCCTGTTTGGAGAAAGAGCAAACAGAGAGGTTCGACAAAAGAAGCCTTATATGCTTGTAAGTCGAAATGGTTCAACGACCCGTAGAGAAGAAAGCCAGATGCAGCGCTGAAGTTGGGTGGTTCAAAGAGGTCGCCAATTCAAGTTAGCAGACCACTTTACAACAGCTCGACGGCACGTCTCGCAACGAATCAGGACGAGTATGTCAGAAGTTTCTCAAGCATGAGGTCAAAGTCTTCCTAAGAGCATCCTTTCTGAATTAACCAGCGCTTCGAGTATCGTCCGGTACCGTAAACCAAACAACTGCCTATTGTCAGTGGGCAAACTCGACATGCCTCCATCGGTCCAAAGATTTGCCCTGAAAGGAAGCTGCATTTTACGAGTTGCGCAGCAAGTTCTGGAGAGGAGAATCCAAATTTCTTCTGGATTATTTCTCTGTTTCGCCGAAGTGACATCCTTGAAGTCGAGTTGGCTCGAAGAGATCAGTATCAGAATCTCTGGTTGCTTCGAGAAGGAAGGAGGGGATTCACCTTTGTTTCGAGCAGACAAAGGTTGGATTGAGGACCAAAGCTTGCCCTGGCAGAATCTGAGGGTCGACGCGATCAAGGGGGCTGCACCTGGGTGAGAGACGCTTGTTGGAGCGGCTGAGGGGCCGCCCGGCGGAACCCCCCAGGCGCCGGAAGCGAATCGCAGGGGCTGCAAGCAAAGGGGACAATCTCTAAGAGTTTAATACTAACCAAGCACCGGGGTTCTGGTAGTACTGCTCAAAGTGGTTTCCGGCGTGGACAAAGAATTCGTCTCAGCGGTGCGTGCGAAGTGTGTTTTGCTTGTCTTTTGGACCGAAAGCTCCCTACTGATAGACAGAGTGAAAAGAAGAATGCTTCGTCCTTTAGAGCCTGGGTATGGAAACCATGCGCTATCTTCTTGAGAGTCACTTTCAAATGGAAGCCAAAAGCCCTCCTTTCAGAAGTAAGCATCGACCCGTCCACCACTTAGTTCTGAGATTTCATCTCAGGAAAGTGGGAAGACTTGGGGCAGCAAAACTGGACGCTTAGGAGAAAAGAAAATAGCGCTCAGCCAGCTTTGCCAACAGGGACGACTTTTCTCGGAGCAAATGTTTCTTTGTTTGTCCTCATGGGAACAGCTTCTGTGCTCGTCAGACTCCACAATAAAACTTTGGCACAGACTTCAACATCTGGGTAGGAGTGTTAACCACGAGGCTATTGATACCCGATTCCACTAACTCAACGGAATTAGATATGCAGTCACTTTATCCCAAGCTGGGCTCTGGAACATGTGCGGAAGTTACGCAGTGAATAGTTCATAGAAAGTCGCCCAGCAAAAGCTTGCATTACGGAAACCTTGGAATGGAAGGCCTGGACACTGTCTCAAATCTGCCTCGGCGGTCTTGATTTGCGGGCAACTATTGTGCGAACTGACAGCATGCGAGATAAAGTGGAGAAGCATCCACACGTGAAGGAGCTTCAAGTCAGAACTCATTATATCTGCATCCGCAAATCAGAATCTGGACCGACGGGTTTCACCCCTCGGATACATCCAAGGGAACTCAATACAGTAAGTCAAGGCCTCCTTGCCTGTATATTCACCGAAAGAATTGGTCAATGAAGGAAAGTGAAAGGGATTCAATGACCGAAGAAGGGATCGACAAGACTTAAAGGCAGTTTGAGCATTCTAAATACCATGTTTGGACCCACTCAGTAGCTTTGATCCTCCGGAGATACATAAGGGAAGCATCTGACTCCCTCTTTGAATTGTCACGAGAAGTGAAGGACTACTAACAACACAATCCATAAAAATTCAGCTGGTCAGGAGATGAGTAAAAAGCAGATCATGTTTGACTTTGAAGCAGGGTGTGCTCGCAAAAAATTTGAACGGGAATGCCTCAGTGTGCCTGATATCAAGACATGCAAAGTGGATGACCTCGAAACATGTCCTGAGGTTCCTTGCCACCCCGGCCCCCCATATTCCGGTTGGTTCCGAGAACGACAAGAAAAAGAGGCCCTTGGGGCAATATGGTCTAATAGCACTATGACCTCCAGGTCAGGTCGTGCAAGGGAAGACTGGATTAGTCATGATAGTCCACAATCAAAGCGAGGCTTTACAGGTTGTTCTTTCGTTTGACCGTAGTTGTTTCTGGGAGGTAAAAGAGGAGATGTCCCCTCAAAGCAAGCTCCTCAAGATTGCCGAGGGACCGTCAATGGAGCTATCAGGCGGGTAGAACGGACAGAAGGAGATATGAAGGAGCACCCGAAATATAAGACCTTGAAAAGAATGAGCTTTTTCTATGCTTGGCAGAAACCTGCCAAGGTGCTCTTTGATCTTTAGCTGCCTTTGTTTTTCCAGTAAAGCAAGACAGAAGCATTGCCCAGCTTTACATGAGAGTGTATTCAGGCTATTGAACAACGTCGGTCCAGGTTTGACCAGCGGAGCTGTTTCACACGTTCTTCCGAGATGCTAGTGCCAATAATGGTCCGTACATCGGCTCTCAGCTGCCTTTGGCTTGGGGAGCAACAGGCGTTCGAAAGGTAAGGTAAGGTAACGTTACAGGCTCAATTCCAAAAGAGTGCCAAAGCGGCGCCTTTTTGTGAACAATTGCTCTTAGGGCATGTAAGGTTATGCCTGGCGTGCAGGTGCAACACAGTCTGTTTGCATGAATCATCACTCAAGTAGATTTGGAATCAGTCTGGTGGGACTCATGCATGTGCAGATATTCTGACACCAGCTACACTAGGGAGAGCTGTACTGCCACTGCGTTGCGCAGGTCCATGACTTGCGCGGCTCTGACTGACCAGAATCACCTCCAATGAGCCTGCTGTACAACCTGCCTACCGCCGGCGAAATGCTCACCCCGTTTCCAACGCTGTCGTTTCTATCAGGTCTGAAGCACTTAGCGCACTCACCGGCTCTTACGCTGCGGGCGCCGCGCCGCTGTTTGCGATAGATGTCGATGAGCAACCGGGGCGACCACCGCCAGCCTCTCCCTCAGCCACCCTAACCTCTCTGTGCTGCTTCGCTCTACCAAGGCCCCACTAGGCTGGGTTCTGACTACTGCTCAGTGCTGAGTTCCACAGTAATTGTGACCGCGCTATCTCATGCTTCTATTGCCATTCTGCATTTAGGTGCTGCTCTGCAAGCTAGACACTCCGTCTTCTCCCTGTGCACTCAAGGCTGACCTACTTTGCGGAAAGCCCGCCAGTCTGCTGCCAGCACTTTTGCGGGGTCCCCGTTTCCAGTCTGGAAGGAATCATGGGCTGGTGGTCCTTCCAATATTGGAAAGGTGCTCGATTTGCAGACGAGTCGGGGGAGTGCTGAGACCGTGCACAGGCTGGGACTCAGAGCTGTGCGCCGCACGAATATTCCACGTGGACAGATCGGTGGACAGACGCAAGCTGTCAAAATATCGTGCGGCAAAGATGTGGTTACATTCGGACGCTTGGTTTGAAACTCACCTCCGACGGTCGATCGTCCGAGGCGAATTACGGCGACGGCCACCCGCGGCCGCCGATTTTCCGGGATCCGTGCGGCACCGCGCCCACCGGCCGCGCTGGCGTTTACAGTCAACTTCCGTCAGTTCAATCATCCCTCCGACTGGGTTGTTATTGTTATTGTTAATGGTTAGTAATCTCACACTCTTTTGTGTGCTCAAGTCAACTCTGTCGCGCGCACTACGGTTCTGGCAACATGGTGCCTTTGCATGTCAAGGGTCGATCCAAATGCATGATACAATATATGTTGCGGTGGGAACATCGGAGAAGATCGGAAGCAAGACCTTGAACTCTGTAGTCAAGACCCTCGCCCGATAGGGAAACGTCGTGCGCGCATGTATATTACACTTGATCGTCAAGGTCAGATCCAGGACCATCTCTAGCCTCTCTTTTGTCTTTGACAGTGAACTCTCCGTCAAGGTGGCTAGCCTTCTCGTCCCTCATGTACAGTAAAACTTTGTTCATTAAAGCTCTACCCATTCTATACATGTTTTGTATTAGCCTCAGTCCATCAACACAATTGCTCGGCCATCGATCTCTCCTCTATCAAGAGCAGCGTATGCATCTGCCGCGGTGTCCAGAGTGTATCGCCTTGACACCGGGGCAGCAACGTCAAACTTGCCCATCGCCGCAAGGTCGATGACGTCAGGCAGATCATGCCGCGTACGAGCTCCGTACGAACCGATGATGCGAATCTACAAAAGCAGACGGCAGTAGAGGTATTGTCGATGTGCGAACACTGCATTCGCTCACCCAATCGAGCAACTTCTAACCCGACGATCGAGCAATGAAATCGAGATTCATCTGGATTCCGTGCCCTTGAAACGGTCTCACATATCTCCTTTCTTGCCCGCAGCCAAAGCACGATCACACGCTCTCAGTTTGCATCTTTGTCGACTGGGGAACCAGGCCCACTCTCCAAACCCCAAATGAATGAGAGACTTGTGTATGGTTTTACACCGCTCCTTCGAGCGAAGTGCAAGGTCACCACTTACCCAGCACGCAGCAGACAATGGCATTCCAAAATGTTCCGCACCTAAGCAGCCTGAGCTTGTGCGGATTCTAAAACCAAAGACTCAAAAAGCTTTCACAGAACAGACTAAGCTTGTCCGGCTTCTCCTCCAAAATGTCAATGAGTTCATTCTTGAACAGGCTAGCAAGTTCCGAAAGTTCGAATGGGACGGCCCACCTCTTTTCGGACGATCCGCGTGATCTCGACCTCTGCCATGGCGCCCGTCGGCGCAATGCCAACCATTACCGCGCGGCCGCCGTCTCGGACCGCGGCCAGCGCCTGGCCGAAAGTTACGGCCTTGCCCAGCGCCTCGACTGCCACGTCGACGCCCCGCCCGGCGGTGTACTCCTGGTGTCACAAAACAAATTGATTCGGTTAAGCAGTCTTTGCGCACTTCTTCGACAGTCATAGCAAGTTCATTGGGAACTTTAGCTGCGACAATATCAGGAAAGGCGTCAGTCGGACTTGGATTGTTGTTTCGGCTCGTTGTCTCGCGAGGCAAGATTGCTGACAGGTTGAAGGCCCTTGATATGAGTGGCGTGACCGCTCTCCTGAGGGGGTCTCACGTTGGCCTTCAATGTTGGCCAAAGCGAATAAATTACAACAAAGCAGAGCATGACCTTGCTAATGTTGTCTTCATACAAACGTCGGCCATTTGGTTGTCTAAAGGCAACATGAGTGACCCACTGCCAATCAAAGATAGGACAAATAACCTTTCAGCTTCTGAGCAGAGTCCAAACCCACTGAAGCCCGTTGTGAAAGGCGAGGAAGCAATGGCGGAGATTGCGAACTGAGGTCGAAATTACTGTCAACAAACACCAGGTGATCCGGCAAATGCACAAGGGCCCCCTCCGAGCCTCGCAAGAATCTTTACCCGGACTTTCTCGGCGACGTTCTCCTTGGCGCCGTTGACTACGTGCGTCGCCCCCAGCTTCTTCGCCGACCGCAGCTTCTCGTCGCTGATGTCGACCGCGATCACAGTCTTGGCCCCAAACGCCTTCGCCAGTTGCACGACGCTGCGAGAAAATGGATCACACATATGACGAACCATCCCAGTCAACGCCTTTTTAACACAAAAAGAACCGATCAACAATTCTCTAGAGATCTTTTGGTGTCTTCCGCCCCCCTCTAACTATGATGCTGACCTAGCATCTGGTGGGCTACGAAAGCATGTCGATATTGTAACAGCTTTTCCCCTCCAGAAATCGATATGGTGTGAGGCCAGGACAAACATACTGCTAACATTTCCAAATTCCGCTGGCACGCAAGCGACGCCAGAGACAGCCGAATCCAACCCTTTCGCTATCGACGTCTCATACGGCTCCGCCAAAGCGCCCTTGAAATGGGCGTCGGGGGCCAGACGTCAGCCGCAAATCCGACGGCTTCAGATTACGACAGCAGTCTTCGTGAGCGGCTCGAAGTTCCATGCTTGGCCTTCGCCCACTTCCGTAGTTGGGCACCTTTGCCTTCATTCCTTGCCCTTCCTTGCGCAGATTGCATGCCTGCGATCACCCCGCATATCGCGCTTCGGATCGTGTGCCTCTTACTCCTTTGCAGGAACCGGCGCCAAAATGTTTACAGGATTCGAAACAGCCGTCTAAGGCTGCCAAAGAACCCTCATCCAGAAGGCGACTCGGACCGCTGACGGACTGGGTGCCTAGATCAGCGGGGCCCGTCACAGCCAGCAGCACAAATATACACGTACTTGACATGAGCGGTAATAAGTACAAGGAGGCGCCGTGTAACCCGTAACGCTGCGGCGAAGAGATGGCCCGTACCCCATTTCTTCCAAGTCGCGGAACGCAAAATCACGTGCTCAAACCTTCGGCGACACAAGACACAAGACACAAGACACAAGATTCTACGTTGGAGAGCACCATTGGTTGGACGCCCTTTTTGAGCCTGTACTTATCGAAAGGAGCAAAGCAAGAAACGGCTTCTCACCCTCCCCCAACGCCCCCCACGCCCACCACCGCGACTGTTTCCCCCGCCCTCAAATCCGCCCCGTTGCGCAGTGCCCCGTAAGCGGTGAAGATCGCGCAGCCCATGATTGCCGACTCCGCGAACGGCAGCTTTTCCGGCAGGACGGCGAGTGCTGACGCGGGCATGACGCAGTACTCGGCAAGGCCGCTCATGCTGTACTGGCTGATCGGAGTACCTGCAGAAACAGCGGGCCCTTGATATTTTCGAAGTTTTGGGTGGGTCTGGATCTCCCATCTGTCTCTTTTAGATCTTTGGAACTTTTGATCTAGAGACTTTATGATGGGTAATGCTAAGTGAGATTCGAGAAAGTGGACGGAGTTGCCAGGACGGATCTGCGTTTGCAGCAGGCCGTTAATGAGGCTTTTTAAAATCCAGAACCAGCTCGAAGTATCCTCGCTTGGAGGGAAACGAGTCAGGAAAGAAATCGAGTTGTTCATCGAACTCGACAACAAGCACCCATCCAGCGTTCCTTCGCGGTGTTCCGTGTGCCCTGTCTACTTTGATGCTAACACAGACGTTATGGCGGACTCAGCAGCAGACATCTATTGAACAATGCACGTTCGCGCCCTCAGGCTTCTAGGCCTCGAGAAACAGGTTGCGAGGTTTGGAGGACGAAATATGACTCGGGCGCTTCTATTGCAGTCAACAACATACTTGCAATGCACTCCCCGATATCGAAGGATCAAAGTAGTCAAAGACCGAGTATCTTGTCGGTACTTGACGTACCCACTGATTACGACTACTATGAACGAGGCCTGGAGCCCGTTCTCCGGAGACCTGCTCAAGAGATGCATCAGCTCTGGCATGAGGGAATTCAGCAGTCGCCTGGAGAACCAGAAAAGGACTTCACTGGTCGCGGCAGGTATACATGCTGTGCGAGGGGGAGAAGTGCTGTCTCACCTCCTTTGGCTGTGTATAGCCTCGTCGTCCCGTCATAGAGCGTGCCTTTGAAGCGGTTGAACTCAAAGAACGTCTCACAGATCTCCTCTTGGCCCTTGCAACATGGACAAGCGTTCTTCAAAGTTCAGAATGAGACGTCAACTTAGTTGAAGATTGAGAACCTTTAGCGGATGGTCATACACATTCTTTAAAGGATCTCGGTGCGTAGCTCACTCTGCCGCCCCGCATCTCACAGCAGGGGCAGGTTAAACGCATCCTTCTTGCGTGAAAATCTGGGCCGTCCAACACACCGAAGGTGATCGAACGGTCCAACTTCGAGAACCATGCTTCGAAGAGCTGACAACGATATGCTATGCTTATTGCAACGTCTCGTGCATCTTCGACAGACTGGAGACACTTTGGAAGCAGCTTTCAGTGTAGAAAGGCAAGCCTTTGCGAGCGTGCGGTCTTTAGTGTGGTCAACAAATGATTGTGACGCTGTGACCAAGGACAGGGGCGCCGTTGGAACGGATACTGTGATAAGACTTGGGGGTTTTAAGGGGGGTCCACGTCCGACGATCGGACGATCGACGCCCAAACCTTGAAGTCGCATCTGGACCTCGCCACGAGCAGCGTTCTTGGCGTCGGCTCCACAGTAACAGTTCCCTTCACTACGCGGTTCGTTTTTTGACCGAGAAGCCCCCACAAAACCCCAAACCCTCACCACGTCATTCATTCAACAAGTTCCCCGGCCTCAGTCTTGCAGTAGCTCATTCGCCTTGACCCCGCTCTTTCAGATAGACCTATAGTTTAGGTAGGATAGTTCTGGGCAGGATATGATCATGACCCGGAGACATGGACCTGGGAACGTGTGGGGTTAGGGTGGTACGGGTAGGGGTGTGGAGCGCCTACGTTTGTTGGTCCAGGTTTTGGTTTTCATTTAATCCCGGGACGGTTGCTACCCTACCTAGAAACTATCCTACCTAGATTGAAGGAGTCTTTTCTTCCAGCTCACCCGTGTGCAGAAGAAGCAGCCGCCGCAAGGCATGATGAACGCCCCCACCACTCGAGCTCCGACCGGCAACCTACATACGATATCATTAAATGATACGATATGAAGATATGAAGATTCTTGGCACTGTATCAGTCTGTCTTTGCGTGTATTTGATCAAGGTCGCCTCCTGCTCAAAAGCAAGAAGATTGTTCGACTTTGGACTCCGTACAAACAAGTGGACGAACGATTCAGTGTCGAGGCACACAGATCCGGCCAGCATCCCTGAAAGGATTATCGTTCAGGCGAGTAAAGGAAGATCGAGACTTTTTTGATAAAGCTCAACGGTTCAGACGCAAGTTCCCAACCCAACTGAGACGGAAGCGAACACGTGAATGACAGCGCTTTCCTTCCCACCATTTCAGCAAGGAAAGGCTATCGCCAAGAGAATTCTTTACTACTGTCCTTGGATGATTTTTCTTTGCAAAATTTCGACTTTAGGCACACAGCAACGCTCCAGGTAGGACCAGCGAGGTGTGGCCTATCAGGTCATTTGTGAGCTTGAACGAACACGGTCTCCCATACAGTCTCTATTGATGATCCGCACTAGCTTTCCAAGGCCCTTCTCTCATGGTTCCTTTCCTTGTCCTTTCTGAAACCTCACGGTCAACTTGTCTGGCATCCAGATTGCCTTCGAATGGGAAGATGCTCACCTCTTGATTGTGGCAGGATCTGTGCCAGGCCCGTGTTCCAGGACCGTCCCTGAGACTTCGTGGCCGAGAACAGCCGGAGTGGGGAACTTCTGCTCGCCCTTGATCACATGGAGGTCAGTGTGACAAACGCCACAAGCTGCAAAACGAATTGAGTTGTTACAAGGACGTGTTTTCTGTTGAGTATTTGCCTTGGTTCTACGTCAGCGCTGGCCAATGATATGAAAGCATGTGGCCAGGCACTGATCACTGCTTTAAGTAGCTCCGTTCATAGGAGGACAGACTGGCAGTAAGGAGCGGCTGTTCTTGTGTTTGAGGGTTCGAAGGGTGCAAGCTGAGTATTTACGTCATGCACATTCTAGCTTCATCTTATCAAGTTGGGTTGGTCTCAGGGGAATGGACAGATTCCACCACCCACTGTGATTAGAAGGGACACTGTGACCCCCACCTTTTGTCTTGATGAGCACTTCGCCAACCTGCGGCTTCGGAATGTTGAATTGCTCCACGTACATTTTCTCATTTGGCCCCGGGAGAATGACGCCCTTCATTGTCATGGATCCGTTTCCCACAACGTACTTGGAGGCCCCCTCCGTTGAGAAAGTTCGGACAGTCTGCATTGCATCCGGCAACCTAGCGGAGAATCCAAGCTGGACTGCAGAGGTGCTGCCAAGTGTGGAGCTGGTAGGAGTACTGTTTTCTGATCGGTTTGTTGTGCTGCTCAGTTGAATGTCCCTGAGTGTAGGTCTACTTCCTGACATTTGGCTGAGTATATCTTCAATCTGCCCTTCTTTAGCATGCTGGTTGCCTTCGGGGTTAACTGCAGCCGTAGGTTGATTCAGTTTGACATCAACTGGCGCAGCTTCCTGTTGCGCGTGCTGTAGGGCACGGCCCGCTGACTCCCCGAAGCTGCAGCAAGTGAAATGGCCCCTGCTAGCACCTGGGGGGAGGAGGTGGAAGGCGAGCCTCCGCAGAGCAAGATGCGGAGACATGCTTTGCATGCTGCAGCTTCGAAGCAGCTGCAAAGATACTTTGAAGACGTCTCACTCTGCCAAATAATCAGTTTCCCAATTTCAGTGACCTGCTTCAATTGACCTCTAAGAGTACCAAGGACTTCTCAGGGAAGTGGCTGCAGAAATGCGATGTGCCAGAGGTGGTGTGAAAAAGGCGATGCATACCTAAATGGAGCCTCCCTCGTCTTTCTGCAATCTGCATGCATGAAGATGGGAAATGCTTGCGCTCCCAGCTTCACCCAGCAGCCAGCTATGCTGGTTTCTCTCCTCCAATCTTGCATGCCCAGGCTCTTTTGCTTCAAATTTAATCGAAATTCTAGCTATTTTTCTCACAACCGGGCCGACGACTTGCCCGGTTCTACATGGGCTGCCTTTGCCATGCTTCAACTGCTCCAGAAATTAAAAGCAGGTCTGATGCAACTACGGTAAGATCGGGACAAAAGCCGGGCCCCAGCCGGAGCCCTCGGGCTTAGATTTGAAAAGAAAGCAGAGAATGTAGCTGCCCATCTAGAGTCTGGACTCTGCCAGAGTCCAGTGGCAGACGCTTCAAAATCCCTCTGCTCTGGCATCGTCGCATTCCAGTCTTTAATCCTTCATAGCGCTTAGTGAGCCTTGAGCTTGTTCGCTTGTCTAATGCTGAGCTCTGCACGCATGCTTGTCTCCATTTGAAGGTTGGTTTCTCCCAGGTTTGAGGAGAACATTCCATCGACAGGGCTTGACGTGGTCCTGGCCGACAGAAATGAGCAGCTCAGCGGCAGCATTGGCGGGCTTCAGGCATCTCTTGAGAGCCCAGCGGAAGTCCTTTGCTGGGGACAGCGTGATGCAGGCTGGGGCGGTGAAGGAGATACGGAGCCACTTTGAGAAGAACAGGGACGCAAGTGATCCAGAAGAAGTGCAAAAGCTTGTAGCTGGTTGTTATGATGCAGCAGACTTTCTGAGTACGTTTGTGGTGCAAGCGGAGCTTAACGACCGAGGGAACTACGGTCAGTTCTTGATCCTAGATAGAAGAGAACAGCTCTGTTACCTTCAGCCCTAGCTATTCATTGTGTTGGCAGCAATCTTGGTTACCACCAGGGTATTCGGTCCTTTTCAAAATTGTCAGTCCTTGGCATGATCCTGCAACGCTTGCTAAGCCCCAACTTGCCTGTTCGATTGTGTCTCGTGCGACAAGGCTGATCAGCGCTCCTTTTACCTTGAAGCACTGCTGTCGACTAGTATGTAAGGCCCTTGTACAGTATGGAGGAATGTACTGTGAAAGAATTCTGCTCTTAGGAACTTCGAAAACTCAAAACAACAGCTTTCTTCTGCAGAAATGAAGTTGCAACCTGAACATGCTGAGAAGGTTGCAGAGGATGTTGGGACGGCTCCGACAATGCGGCCGCCGATAGTGAAGGGCTGATGTGATCCAACAACAGGTGAATTCTCCTTGAGCACGGTTTGGTCTTACCTGAAGCACAAATCTCGTGCGCTTCGTTATTACCAACATGATTCTGTGTCCGGTTTGTCATGGAACGCCCATGACAGAACCTCACTCAATATCCATTTTATCAAATAGCAAATCGAGTCCGTGTGCAGCATTAGGAAAGATGCAAGGCGAAACTATGTGGATCTCAGATTGACTAGTGTTGGTAGACACACCTTTCCTTTGCCCTCTTGTAGAACCTGGTGCTGATAGAAGACGGAGAGGGGTCAAGGGCGTAAGCAGACCAGCAGAACTGGAGGATCACGGTAAGTCACCTTATGGGACATTTGTTTAGGCACTTCGCCTTTTTCAGTTGCATTCTGCTACTCGAGAGAAATCTTCCTCTACATGCTGAGGGGACCTTGCGACCTACAGCCAAATACTTGGTGTTGTGGGTGCACTACTGCAGGACCTTACAGAAGCACATGATGGTCTCCAAGTGATGTCATACTCGATCTGGTTTGGCGAAGTAACATTACCTCAACATACCATTGCAGGGAATTTCACATAGTTCCCCACAACCAAGGCGCTGCACTCAACTACTCAACTGAGAATTTAAGCCATTGGTTCGCCGAAACAGAACAATATCGATGCTTTGGATGACGCAGCCCGCATGCTCTCCTGTTTGTTTGATCCTGCGTCATTCCAGGTGCTCTATGATTCTTCGAGGGGTACACTTGCTGACTATTGATATAAATAACAGATATCATGCTCTCCATTCACATCTACTCTCTGCACTCAAGAGGTTGATTTGACGGATACAGCTCCATATGATCTCCACTTTACTGATTATTGCATGCCACTTTTAACCTGCGTAGTATGTATTTGGCTGCTTCGGATCATGCACGCAAACTCCTCAAATGAAGAAGCTCTGGCATATATATATGGCCCTCCATATACAAGTATGAATGTCTATACTGAGCTATAGTGCATAACGTGACATACTTTCACGAGTCAATTGACTAACCATGCACCAATTCCCAACCGACCGAGTAATTACATGCAATTGGTTCCTCTCCGGAAACATGTACCTAGTATGCATAAGCGCAGCTTGCATGGTGCAACTATAAGACCCCAGGCACACGCGTCTCAGATGTTGTGTGCTGGCCGCCCATGGCCGAAAAACGTAGGTGCACTCAATGACGCTCAGTACCCTGTTGCTCAGCTGTAGCATTAAAATGTTCTGGACCTCCTTCGTTCTGTATTTTCACTACCAAAAACACCTTCCAATTGCAATCGTCTTATTGCAAACTTCTACTCAGTGACTGTGTTTCCTATATTACACTCCGGCAGCATGTTTGCGAACCAATTATCGAACCCTCCCCGCAACCCCACAGAATGTAACACTTTAGTGACAACCCCGCCCGCCCCCAAGCCTCCCAACTCCAACCAGTACAACAGATTGTACCCTTCTTGTCTTCACCCTCCCAACTCACATTGAGCTCCCCTCATGCACAAGCCCCCCAGCCCCCCCAAAAACCTTCAAACTAGCTTCTTCTCGGCTATTGCATTCAGCCCCTCTATAAAGCACGTATATAGTTGTTCATACTAGTTTGCCAATGCTTTACCTGCTTCCTGAGCTCGAAAGAAGCGTTGCCACAAAGCCATAACGTGGACTTCGATCGCTCGAAACCCTGTCCTCGGATTGCTCCATCCAACTGCCATCAACCTAGTATGTCGCATGCATGGAGAAGCATCTCCTCACTCGTTCTGCTCTCCCGTGAGGTGAGCGGGCCAGACGCCCGGGGCGACATATGTGTACCTGCACAAGATGCACGATAGACTTTGAAGGCGCCGGTCTGGAACACGTCACTGACCATTCGCTTGTCGCACCGATTCCTCACCTGTTGTCACCTATCGCCTTTTTTCGATCTAGCTTTGGAAACTGCCCGCTGCCCATGGCTGCAACTTGCCCAGATGGAGTCAAGGCTCGGATGTTGTTCTCTAGCATCGGTTTGAAACCTGATCAAACCGCCTCGCCTCAGGGGTATTCCAGAATCAAAGCCGGTCCTCGTTTCTCGCGTCGCAATGTTGGCGCTTGTCTACAGTGATCAGACTCCAGTTGCTCCCGTGCAGATTGCCTGCTGGCGCTGACGCGATGGGTTGGTAACCAAGCGCAAGACAGTCCTCACCCGACAAAGAGGGACCAGTGGCGGCCGCGCTTGGTTGTGGTCTCTTTTAAGCCGAGCACCTATTCAGATTCCAACTCTTACCAGATCCAAAACTGAACACTCACAGAGCTGTAAAACTTGCTTTGCTCACCCGACGAAGAAGTCGTCGTGGCGGCCGCCCTTGGGCGTGGTCGCTTTAAGCCGAGCACTTACTCAGACTCTAACCTACCAAATCCAAAACTGAACACCCACAAAACTGTAAAACTTGCGCTCACCCGACGAAGAAGTCGTCGTGGCGGCCGCCCTTGGGCGTTGTCCCGGGCGAGTCGAGCACCGGGAGCTTGGTGTACATCTCGTCGAAGTTGGCCGTGCACCGCTGGTCCACGACCGCGGGCCGGAATGGCGGCACCACCTGCCGCGCCTCCAGCTTGCGCCAGTTGATCGCCTTGAAGAACTTGTGGCCCTTGATCTCCGCCGCGCCCGTCGGGCCGCTGCCGAGGCGCCGCGCGGGGTCCTTGTTCAGGAGCTGCGACGGATTGAAAGGACAGTGACGTTACGCCAGGAAGCGACATGAACGGTTGGCTTGTTGAAAACGAAGCCCAGTTGGCCCGCTGCCAACGCGCCTGAGGGACCCTTGTGCAAAAACGAGTAGCTAATCTAGGGAGTGACATCAGCAGTGGCAGGGTAACGTCAAGTATCCGCTGGGTTATCTGTCGTCAGACGTCCGTCGGGCCGCTGCTCAGGCGCCACGATGGGTCCTTGTTCAAGAGCTGTCTGCATCAGAGGAGGTGGAAGTCAACAGGGGTACGAACGAAGTCAGCAGGTGCGCTCTTTTGAAAGCCTGTTCACCTTCTCACAACAAGCCAGAATAGCCTGACACAGTGACGACTTGAAGCTGCCAGGGAGGAAAAAGAGCGGATACCGAGCAAAGTAGCGGAGTCCGGCTTTCCAAGAATCAAGCAAGAGCTCAGATGTGACTTGCATCAATCGCGCCACCAGAGGACGAAGGAAGGTCATAACAGTAACCTTCGAGGGACTACTGATAATATATTCGATGAATACTCGTAGGAGAGCAAGAGGTCTTCAACTTCTAGGCTGGAGGCTCGAATCTAACCGCTCCGGATCTCTCGCAAGGCAACCACGACGCTTCAAGTCAGATCAGCAGACACTTGCACGACCGAACTGGAAAAAGCAGAGCAAAACCGGCTGCTGCTGTAGGAGTCAGGACATCGCCCTTTTCCGCTTGAGTATCTACTCTAGTAAAGTCGGCTCCACAAGACGAAAACGAAACAAGGATACCTTTAACTGCCAGCAAGCTACTCCGAAACCTGCGAGAACAAGGGCCGGTTCCCGTTTGCTCACCCCTTTGACGAGCGTGCTGGCCTCGCTGGTGAGCCACGCGGGCAGCTTGAGCTTATCCTTGACGATCTTGTTCTGCAGCTTCTGGCGGTTGTTGGAGAAGAACGGGGGCTCCCCCGTCAGCATCTCGAACAGCAGGATGCCCAGGCTCCACCAGTCAGCGGCCTTGCCTGCAAACAAACGGTAGGAGGGTTGAGGAACTTTGACGAAAGCTAGTCCTATGGCACACGTGTATCGCGAATTCCTACAAGACATACCAGCTCCTCAATACTCCCTTCTAATGGTCACAACCGCCACGCCATCTCAAAGCATCTCTTCTGTAGCCGGAACATACCGCTCCTTCGGGCTTGCTTGTCGCCGCCATGCGTTTTTGAAGCCCCAGTCTCGAAAAAAGGGGACGGAGTGTACAACCAACCTCAATCTAATTTTTGAAACGGTTTCACTACTCAGGAGACAGCAAATCTCAAGGCCGTTCTCTTTCATCGCCCATCTGCAACCCTCAGTTTCAATCTGCACAAAGCGGCCCTTCACATTTTCCCAACACTGCCACCTACTCGTGTTGGCCGCATCTCGTCACCGATTCAAAGATTCAATGACTGATTCAAACCCAACCCAGACTCGAACCCCTGGTCACCCATAGAGCCCAAGCTCACCGTGCCCCTTTGCCAGCAGTATCTCGGGCGCCATATACTCCATTGTCCCGCACATGCTATTCGTTGCCGCAGGTCCCGTCACATCCGCCTTCGCAAGACCGAAGTCCGTGATCTTTAGATGCCCCTCTGCGTCCAACAAAATGTTCTCCGGCTTGAGGTCCCGATGCATGATCTCGCGCTCGTGCAGGTGCGCAATTGCGAGCACAATCTCGGCCAGATAGAAGCGCGAGAGCTCCTCGCTGAAGGTGCCCTGGCGGTAGAGCTGGAAGAAGAGATGGCCGCCGTTGATGAAGTCGAGGAGCAGGTACAGCTTGGAGCGGGTCTGCAGGAGCGGATATGGACGCTTCAGTGCTCAAGATGTCATGGTCAGAGAAAGTATGATACATGAGACTGCGGATGTAGCCGCCGTTGATGTTTTGGGAAGGCACAGCTTTGAGCACTCTGCGAAAGCGTGGTCTCTGTTTCTCAATCATTGGCTGCCTGAAGCATGTACATACGCATTCCTAAACAAAAGCGCAGAGTTGCCGGCACCTGTGGCGAAAAAAAACCAACCTTAGGCCAAAAGCGGGTCTGCGATTACAAGAGTTTCAATTTTGGGAAGTGACATGCAATCGGCAGAGGATCAGCGAGCAATAAAAGTTCACCGAGGAGAGATTCAGAAGTGGCCCCCTGTCCGTGGGATTGGGAGGCCGCTTTACCCTGAAAGCAAACAGTGAGGAAAGAGCCCAAGCGTTCTGATCTACGGGCTTCTGACTGTTCTCAACGGGCATCAGGGCGGAAGGCTGATTGGGCGTAGCCTTACTGAAGATGACATGGACGGGAACTTTCCAAAGATGGAAAGGGGCCAAGGCTGGGGTATGCTTCAATGACGAAGCTCCGAAAATCTTTCTGGGGCAAAGGATGGGCCCACCGGCTCACCAAGAATGTGTTTACATTGAGGGCCTACAATGACTTGGCAGCTGCCCCCGCATTAAAAGGCAAGTGAGTAGGCAATTACCTGGAAGGAGTATTGCAGGGTCACAATGAAGGGGTGCACAATCTGGGTCAGGATGTTGCGCTCCGCCTTCATGTAGTCGGCATGATTCTTCTCCATTATCCGGTCCTTGCGCATCACTTTCATGGCCAGGATCTCTCCCGTGTCCTTCTTCTGAACCTGTAATCAGCGGACAAAACAAACTCGATCTCATTCTCAGGTTGCTCAGGCTTATCAACTTTTACTTTCTGCTGTAATTGGTCAAAAGTACCCCTTGAAGTCATTTGGACAGATGAAAACAAAAAGGGGGGGCATCTACTTTACATGGAGTGCATGGATATACAACATAAGGTGGCAAAGCGCGGTGCTTGATCTGACACATGAGTAGCTTGAATTAACAATCAACTGTGTAAACACCACCTAGAGAAAGCCGGGCATCTTCGGAAGGGAAACTAGGCGTGGCCTCAAAATCCAAGCAGCCCCACTCTGGAAAGGTACCTACTGCAACTGAATCGACCAACCAGCTGACCAACCGGCATCGAGAACACAGAACTACTCAAGAGACACCACTTCAAAGAGATACACAAGGCCCATTCAGCTGCCAGTGATTGTTTCTGATGTGAAGTGTCAGCTGCTGCATACCCTGGCAGCCAGACTCAAACCCTAACTTTGTGCAAACGCATGCACCACCCCAAAACCAAGTCTCCAGACGTACTACTTCCACCAATATCGAGCAGTACGTTGCAAAAGCCAGCTCCGCACCTGAAACACCTTCCCAAAGGCGCCCTGCCCGACCACCCTGAGCAGCTCAAAGTCCGAGGGCCCCAGCTTCTGGTTGCCGTTCCCCACATGCTCCCTTCCAGATGTTGACGCCCCCTCGTCGCCCGAAGAATCGCTGTAGATGGTCGACAGAGGCTTTGCAATGATCTCCACCGGTTGACTGATCACTCCCTTGATTTCAGGAGTGGGGAGACTGTTACCGTCCGCTTCTTCTTTGGGTGCCCCAGCCTCCGCTATTTCTGCCTCATTGTTTGTGATGACCATCTCTACCTGCTGCCAGACGATAGTTGCTGTCTGCCCCTCATGTGGGGAGGGGTTCGCTCCCGGAGTATGCTCTCCAAGCACCGCTGATGGCCCCCTTAGGCTATGCTGCCTCGTGATGAGGTGCGGAGGAGAACCGGGCCGGTTGCTCAAAATCAAAGAGGGGGTGCGCCTCTTCCCGTTTACAGTAACCTCCTCCGCTGCTCCCACCAACGCCTCAACCAAAGAGTCCCGTTCACCATTCTCTGCCTTAGTGTCTTCTTCCACCGTCCCCAGTGATGAACCAGCTCTCTGCAGCCCCTCCCCCGCGTCTGCTTCTGCTCTTGGCGTAGAAGAAGCAAACATCTCATCAAACTCGAACTCGGTCCCTCCATTGGTGGCTGGAGCCTGCGGCGGCTCAACCTTCACCTTGATCCCTGAGAGAACGCTCGCAAAGCTCCGGAAGTCCACGCTGGGAGCCTGCTGGCTCGAGGTTGCTGCCATTTTTTGTTCGCTACTATTCTAGATTATTCTTCAAGTTTTAGAACACTATACGTTTCATGCAAGGGCCAGCAGTAACCAGTCCCTACGTCTGACCCTCCCACCTGTATTTCAGAGCATCAGAATGCACGTTTAGAGGAGGACAACAACATGGATGAGGTTCATAGAGCGGTTTATTACCGCAGCTGCTGATCGCTGTCCAATAGTCAGTTGCTCAGCTTCTGCGGTATTTAGCGCATGTTGTTTGTTGCAAGAACTCCTGCTGACAACTAATCCAGCTAAAGCGATGTTGATTGAAAGCGAACGCGGTTGCGATAGGGACAACCACGCCGGGGGCGCTTGGTCACATCGTGCCGGTTGTCACTCTGACCAATCAGGCGAATCACTTGCAAGATGCGTCCCCAGCAAGCTGCAAACTTTCAGCTCAGAAACAACACTGTAGCCCCTTCTAACCAGCTGTTTTCAAGGGCGCAGACTCGACTCCACCATGCAGTATAGCTTTTGCAGCTCCAAACTTTTGCTTTGGTGGCAACCTTCTCTCATGCAGGCGGTTTCAAGGTCAACAGGTTTGGGGCTCATGCAGAAATTTGCGCTCTTGCCAAGCAGGCACGAATCCTGAAGATGCAGAATCTCTGAATCCGCAAATGGGCTGACACGTGGAGCGTTAAGAAGGTTTGGAGATCCATCAGCGGTTCAGAAAGCGCACAGTCCCCGCCATAAATTCGAAGAGCTCAGATTGTAGTGCAGCAAAATGCAACTTCTGCTCGCAATGTTCAGCCAGTAAGCGAGCTGCTGTTTGCATACTTTCAGTACTTTCCATACTTTCCATACTAACGGGAGTCTTTGTCAAACCATGCATGACCGTGACGTTGTCAGCAGCAAGCCCGTAACAAGGGCTGCCAGCTCATTTGGTCATAAAGTTCGATCAAATGTCGCATGCTACATATGAGAAGTAAGCGTACATATAATTCGAAACATGGGACGAAGATTCTTCGCAAGCAAGCGTATTCACGATGATCTCATCAATCATCATCATCAAAATCGTTCCACCTACGCCATCGAGATCGGTCGTCTAATTTTCTATTCGTTGGTTGCTGGAAAGGTGGTTGAAGTGATTGCGGGGCGCTCTGCTCAATTTCGGCAGGTGAAGGTCCCCTGCAAGCAAAAGAGTCCCCAAACCGTTGCTCATTGATGGTTACCGAGCATTTCCGCAAACTATTCGTCTGATGCAGCAACAGATTTCAGGCACTGCTCGCTGTACGGCAGGAAACAAGCGAGAAGCGGGCTCCAAGTAGATGACCAAAGCACAAGAAATTCAACAAACTCCGGTTATGCTGCGCGGTATTGAATCAATCCAATAAAGCTGCCAAAGAAGTGCAACACAAAAGCAGGAACGGCAGGCGAGTCTGCGGTAAACTAACTACCAACCCGTCTTCACTGGAATGCAATCGCCAGCCAGCCACAGGGCTAGGCCATTAGCCAGTCGACCTATTGAGCGTCCATAAGCACGAAACTCAAACCAGATCGCTCTAGACACAGATTAAGAACCTTGCAGACACACAATAAGCACCTGGCAAAGCCGGCCAAACCCACCTGTAACCTGGGTTGACGGACTTGAGGAACGTCGCCAACTCGCTGACGACCCACTTCTTTTCGACCTCCGTCAGCCCGTCCCCGAAGGTGTGCTTCTTGATCCCTTCTGCCACCTGGCAGTTCCTCAATGGCTGCCCGTTCACGCTGCCGGTCATCACGACCTGCGCGCTCGCAAGGTCGTCCGTGCGGCCCTCCACGGTGTGGGACCATAAGCCGCCGGCTACCTGAAAGGTAATATCCCAATTTGAAAGTTTTCGGGAATCGAAATCACACCTAGTTGTCTGGTTGGCAATTACCCTTGCAAGTCCTCGTGGATTAGAGCCATATTTGAGTTCGCAATTATCCAAATGATTGATGACAATCTACGGTCGCAGGGTAGGCCCGTCTCGTTCATCTTGGGTACGATAGGGGCTCCGGACTCCAGTCCTTGAACTACACCTCTTGGCAAACACGGGAGGAACTGATGACAGTTTACGGTCTTCGCGTGTCTGCTTCGTCACTCCGCCGCTTTGGACCTTCGATGCGTGCCAACCGTCTACGAGTGCCCAACCGTGCAAAGTTGACTATACCACACTTGGTCTGTCACTCGAAAAGCGCGGACATGAGAATCAGGCGCTTGAATGGTCGAAACCGAATGGAGATAAAGGCCTCCGCCCATTTCTAAGTCGAACCGACTCAATCCATGACGTTCAATCTGGTGAAAATGGCGATTGGAAAGACTTGATTGAGTTCGATAGATGTCGTTGACAAGAACTGACGCCCAAAGCAGGCAAGAGGTGTGTAGCAACCGTTACAAAAGCCCCTCGCCAGTCGCTTTCTTGCGTAACCATGCATCCGTAAATGCACTTGATGAAAACGAAGTCTAGGTCTAAGTACTTCTGCGGATTTTGTAGGACCACTCGAAGAACGTTCAGTCGCAGAAAGCGCTCAACAAGAACATGCAGCAGGTCGGGCGACGTTTTGCCACCTCACCTCCCACTTTATTGTGAAATTCTGTACCCCAATGTCAAGCGTCGTCTTGACGGAGACGCCCGAGAGGGCCGACTTGGCAAGCCTGCAGAACAAGGGTCGAGCCGACACTGTGAGCACTGGCAAGGGTGAAAGCTTATCTACGGTCCATTGGATCAACGGAACCGCGTCATGAACCCCGTACTATACGGAAAATCAGCCTCAGTGCACTTTTAAGAACGTGTACAGATCTGTACGTGAACAGGGAGCCATTACAGCGACCAGATAATTTCTCGTAGGCGAGACATCTGTGAAGGGCGATCAGAACCATAAGCGCGCGAAATAAAGTGCATAAGCGCTCACCCGAACCCCACCGCCCAGAAAGGTATGGAGAAGAGCGAGAAGAGGATAGGCGCTCCGCCGGTGATGGCGCTCGCCGTCCAAAACGCGATGAAGCCGTTCCAGGCCAAAGCAAACGTGCCGGTGCTGAGGTTCTGCTCCGTGAGTCCCTGGGGAGGAACCTCTATATGTATGCGGCCGCCGCTCCGCTCTAGTTCCTGCAGTGGGAATTGCAGGAAATAGACGGAGGTCGAATGTGTCCTCACGCATCGGCATCGATCATTGTCGATGCGAAAATGGACTTGGCACTAACGGTGAGATCAACGAAGACGTGCGCAGAGTGCGGCCGCCCTTCGAATTGATTGACTTCCAGAAGTTTACGGAGAACTCTTCCAAACGATGGGACGCGTCTCAATCGAACAGCATCAGCAACTGGAGACTATGGCAACAAAAAGCTCATTCTCATGTGCTGACCGTTGGGGACGTTGGAAAAATGCGACCTTTGAAAGGAGTTTCCATGCGTTCAAAGGAGTGGAAGTGATGTTCGTGTTCGCCTCAGAATGATGAGCAATAACTCACCACTTTTGACCCCGCCGGTTTCCTGAGCGGCGTGAAGCTTTCAGGGACCCGAGTGTCCGCACTTTGCCGTCCGACCCACCCCCCGATCGAGCTCCGATCGTTCGCGCCACTGATCGCCCTGTGATCGAGACGAGAAACAGAGTCTGCTTTCTGCTAAGATTCTGTTCTGCTTCAGCTCGCGCCTCTCCAAGGGAGAAGATTGAAATGATGTTGACGGCTTACGAGAGACAAAGGAGCTCCCGTGTCAAAATGAGACGGGGCTGGTGATATCTACAAACGTTGTTCACGTGTTGTGGAAGAAGCCTCCTCCGAGTGTGCAGCCGCTAGCAGAAGCGGAGGGACAAACTTTCGGTGATATGACGCTTCCGCATTCAGGACTTATGGCGCTTCGCACGGTCCGCACGACAGATGATACAGTTCGCTTGATATCTGATGTATTTTTTAAAAAACACGCTTACAAAACCAAGACGTACGTCCTTGATTCCGCCAAGCCAGGACACTGATATTCTTCTCCGCAGGTCCGGCCAAGGGATCTTGAAGCACTGCTGAGTGATTCCATTGTCGTGGTCCGCTGTCCGCTGAGACCTCACCCTTTGCAACGGCACCGAAGAAGGCGAGGACTGAGGTTCGAGGGGGTCCAACCGGGTGAAAGAAAGGAAGAGAGGGAACGAACAAACAGAGAAAAAAGGACCCGAATCTTGCAAGGTCAGTTACATGGCATGTCCCGCTGCAGACTGGTGAGGAGCAACAAAGTGGAAGAAAAGGGGGCGGAGGGGGAACGAACAACCGAAAAAGAGAGGGTCACTCACCTGGCGACTTCCGCTGCGGACTGGTAGCGGTCTTCAACGGCGGGCTCGAGCAGGCGGTCCAAAACGTCAGCAAGTCCGGGGCTCATCGAGACTCGGTCGCGGAACTCCACTTTCAGACGCCGCTGCAAAAAGGAGGCTGACGCATCAGCGGGGAAAGCAGATTAGGAGATGAAAGAAAATGGGGAACACTGCGCGACAACTCTTAAGCAGAAGTTTGCAAAAACGACACCAACGGGCTCGAGCTGTGATACGGTCGTGAAATTCGACCTTGAGGCGCCCAGTCACGTAGTCACATAGTCCCCCTCTTCGCGGGACTACTTTTGTGAAATGGTAGAGCAGATAAGGAGATGAAGGGGAAGGGGGAGTACGAAGACGAAAGTCTTGAGCAAAGAGGGGAGAAGGAGCGGCCATTGGGACGTTCAACCAGATCACAAGAACCTCGAATAAACCGAGATAACGAGAGTCTCTTGAGGCGCCGCTGCGAGAAGGTGCTATATTTTCGCAATAACTGAGACGATAAATAACCCGAGCTAGCAAGGCTATCGAAAAGAGAGGGGTGCGCTCTGCAGGATACAGTTGGATTACACAACATTGGAGCAACAATTGCCATGAAAAAGGGAATCGAACAGAAACCTGAGAAAGCATGAGGGAGAGGTAACAACTAACAAAGCCAACAAGAGAGAACGAAAACCATCAGTGCTAACGCCAGCCTCACTTGCGGGAATTCGGAAGGTGGTCGCCCTGACAGCATGTAGAGCATCGTTGCGCCGAGCGCGTAGAGGTCGCTCTGCGGCACCGCTTTTCCGCGGAACTGCTCGGGGGCCATGTAGCCATACGTGCCCACGACGGTACTGCCTAGAAACGTCGCGGCGGCCTGATCCTGGACGGCGCCGAAATCAACCACCTAGGGAAAGGCGACGATGAGGTCAGCATGACGTCAGCCCTGGGAGGTAGGCGTTGTTAAGAAGCATGACTTGGGGAGTTAAGTTGTCGGTTTGATTGCAGACACGGTAGACTGTAGAGACAACATGGCAGCTTGAGGGATCCGTGGCTTATGCGGGGTCGTGATGCCAATCGAGGTGCGAATTGCACTGCCTTTCAGTATGTGCGACGCCAGGAATATGATTTGCATATGAACGAGGGTCTCCCCATCATTTTTAAACAAGCTGACATGCAAACTCCTCCGGCGAACCCTCAGTGGGCGCCATTACTGCTCATCGCTGTGAAGACAGTCATGAGCATCCCCTCACCTTCACAGCCCCAGTGCCCCTTCCAGCCCCGTCGGAGTCAATGATGATATTCTCCGGTTTGATGTCCCGGTGCACCACCGCCGGCCGCAGACTCTGCAGATACTCCAAAACTTTCAACACTTCCAATGCGATCCTCTTCACTTCCTCCTCCCCCACGCGCCAGCCCCCCTTCACGAGATCCGCGATCGACTTTCCGGGCGCCACCTTCTGCGCAATGTAGAAGGTTCTGTCGGCATCCGTATCTACCTCGAAGGAATCAATGTACTCGGCAATGCCCGGGTGCTTCAGCGACTGCAAAACGCGCGCCTCACGTTCAAATAGCTCTAGGTCCTTCCAGGCCTTCATGCCCCTGAGCGACATTGCTTTCAACGCCACTTTCGTGCTTCTTTCTCCCCCCGATTTGGACGCCGCCACCGCTTCCTCCCACGTCTGTGCAACACCACTCGGACTGTCCGAATCGGCGCTGCCATTTGAATCGACCAACTCCGCCTCAAACATGGTCCCCAGCCCCCCGCTGCCGAGAACCCCCGTGATGCGATACTTCCCCACGATGACATCACCGATCTCATGGAGGGGTTTGAACTGGGGCGGGCTGGAGCTGACAGTTGGGGGGAGCTCCGGTTGTCGTTCTAAATACTCTTGGAAGCTGAGTCTATCTTCCTCCCCCTGAGCCCGTACAGTAAGACTGAAATTCCTAAGGGGCCCCTTGTTGAGGGCTCTTCTATGCACTTGCTTGACTGGAGAGCCTGAGAGGAATTCACAGCATCGCCTTAAGGCCAAGGCTGGACTCCCTTCTGTTGGCTCCACTGAGCGCGCCTTTACAATCGCTGACCTACACTTGATGAATGAACTTTGATTACAAGCGCGCAATTTGCAGAAACTGGCCTCTGCAGAAAATAGAAGGGGCCAACAAGCAGGCGCGGCCTCAGCAAAAGCGCTCCGCACGTCCACTCTTGCATGCGCTCCAATTGACGCACGACCCTGAGGATGGTCAAAGTGCCTGGTTGGAGATAGTCTTATACACCCAGTATGGCTGCCGGCAGACGCCATGGACTGCGCCATTGGCGAACAGAACGCATGCAAGCAAGTTTGGCTAGGACACTTGATCTCAGGCTTCAGCCGCTTCAACAACGAAAATTATGATGCTAGCCTGCACTGGCAGCCTCCCATTGCCAGCCCCGCCAAGCTTCTCTCCCAGTCCTGACTCCCAAGCTCCGAGCAGAGAAGATACACCATTGAAGACGTACAGTGGGATGGACCCGGCGGTGCAAGCTCTACTCGAGTCTCGACTGTGACCATGTCCACGTGGCATTGTATGATTCGAAGAAGGTGCGGCGGCCAGCATCGAGCTTTATTGTTTACCGAATCACTGCTTCAGAGCTGCTTCATTTGACATTCACTGCTTTAACTTGATTCAATGCAATTGCACTTACGAAAGTGTTATCGCACATGGTTTCCGGGTTTCTTTGGAAGAGATTTATGAGCACCATATCCTTGTGCATTAGCTTTAAGCGCATGCTTGATCAGATGTCTGTTTCACGCAGCTACATGTGCTTATAAAAGCATTCTGTGGTGTCCGTGGGAGCACTCTGTGGAATTACTGAGGCTTTCTATAGCCCATTCTGGCTGACCAGTTCAACGATCATTGATAGATTTGAGGATAAAACTTGCAATCAATGGTTTGAAATTTAATCGCCAGTTACATTGTGGGAATGAGGACACACGTATGACACACACGTTGGGATGTGTGATGCAGCGGCCGTTGTGCAATTTAATTGGCACCTGCAACCGCAGTGCAAATCCAGCCTACCTCAAGCTCCAATATTACTCCTTTGCTCTTACTATCGTAACCCATCGCTGCATGAGCTTTGTAATTTAAAATTCTTCTTGGGTTGCTTCAAGATCGTATGCCGAATTTAGCTGCCGGACTTGCTTAAGTGGACAGGAAAGCTCTTCGTTTAGGTATACCTACGTTTGACCAGAACGCCAGCAGGCTGGCCCGCGGGCTTATACACGTGTTTCTAACGTTCGCTTATATCGCTAATTTGAAGGGCTGCCCGTCATGACAAGTACCAACCCTCCGAAAGATCTCGTTACATTACACGTTTCCCCATGTCCTGGCAACAGGCCCTATTCTTATTCTTGTATATGAGCATACTTGACTCGGATCGGATGCCCTTTGCGATACCACGCCCCCCCCTTCCTGCTCTCTGAAAACAGCACGCTAGGAAAATCAAACAAACATATTTTCCATGTCATTTGACGCTTCCATTACAAACAGCCTTGCAGAAGATAAATCTGTCATACCAGCTCCCAGTCAAACCAGCCCCCCTTCCCCGATTCTCCCCCGGTGGAATGCCCCGAATCCGCCCTAGGCAGGGCACCCTTAGCTCCGTACCACTTGGTGCGCTGCGACCGGTCGCTCTCGTTCCCGCTCAAAAGATCGTCGTCATCTCTCCTCCCTGCCTCCCCCTCCGTCTCAGAGGCAAACTCGAGCTCTGTGGCATCTGAATCCGCTGCCACGTCCAACGGAACGGAATCCGCTGGAGCCGAAGCAGCTGCCAAACCGCCGGGCGCCTCCATGCGGGCCTTGTCGATAGGCTGGGCGTCTTCGCCGGGGCGTCGGATGGGCAGTTCCGCCGTCGTCTTCTTGTCCGTTTCCGGTTCTGCTTCAGGTTCCGCTGGGGCAGCTTCGACAGCGGGGACCACAGTTCGGGCGTCCGTTTGCACAGCCGGCGACTTGTCCGACTCGATGCGCTGCATCTCCTGGAAAGAGACAACGGCATGTCAGCCTCGAATCCTTACGAACGTGCATTACTGCTCTGCAGAGCTTCTGAAAGATCAATAGGAGCAATCGCAAACAGATCTTCGCCTTTGGAAGGAATACAAGGTCACGAAAAGCTGATGGGTCTAGCCCCCAACCCCCACACCTGAGGCAGGGATTCCGCAACTTCTAAACGCCATCAGACGGCAGTCAGAGGGTCAAGACCGAAAGCCAAAAGCCAAGACGAAAGGCGTTTTCACCAGAACCGAGCACTGGAGACTCGAAATAAAACCAAACATGACGAATCAAAACCGAATCCGGATGTCTTCCAAAACGGCTGACGATCTCAAAACCGGGGCCCCACATCCAGATCCAAAAATCGAGATCGACTGTCCGAAACCTTAAAACACGAGGCCCCCGGAATCCAACGAGCGAAAACTCAAACCAACAATCACAACGAACCCTCTAAAACCTACCTGCAGCTTGAGGTGCAGCTTGGTAACCCCTTCCTTAACCCGCAGGTCCTCGTGGGTCTCTTCCAGGGGCGGCGCCTGAAACAGCGGCGGGGCCAGCAATTCAAACTCCTGCGAGTCGGACGCCGAAAGCACGGACGCAGCCTGCAGGGCACGGACGTCCGAAATTAGGGACAGGCTTGACGTCCCTCGTTGGTCCGCTCTTAGGAAGAATCGTGACATCCCTTGTAAAGTCTTGACGTTCCTTGTGCGTCCGGATCAAGAGACAGTCTTGATGTCCCTTGTCTGAACGTCTTTCAATATGTGTGGCCAATGCGAAGAGCGGCATTGTTGGACGAGCATAAGTCCCTTGGGCTACACACTGGGGGCCCTCGATATCAGAAATGTCGAGACTTTGAGGCAACAGGACGAAATCTCGCAAAGAGCAGAGACAATCGCTACTCTGACTGTCCAGTTCTGCTGCGAGGTCCAAAGAATTGTCGAGGGGTGTCATCTAACACTCAGGAATGGACTATGGGCTTAGTGTATTCACAGGAAGGCCGACTGGAGCACATTATTTGCTCACGAAGGAAAGCATTTGGGATAGCGAAGCGCACTTCCAGCTTCGAGTTGCTCACATGAGCCAACCTGATCTCGCTCGCTGCGTTTCTAAAAGCGCTGTCGCTATCATACAGCAGCTACGGTCGTCGTCTGGTTCAAAACCGAGGTACGTTTGCACCTACAAGTCAATGCTGAAAAAGGATTCTTTTATGTACTTTGACGTGACCGGACAATCTCTTTCAAAAATGATATCTAAAATCCGTCTATAAGACCATTTCGGCAAAGTAAAGTACAATCACCTTCTCGTCGACCTCGGCCTGCCCCTGGGTCTCCCTCCCCTGCTCGTCGCCCGTTGCCTCCTCGTCCTCGGCGCCCGGTTGATCTTCCCCGGGCACTTTCTCGTCACTGCCGGCGATGGCCGGGGCCTTCAACCGGGCTTGCGCATCCGCCCAGGCCTGGCTCTCCCCAGGCACCTCGAGGGGCAGCAAAAGCTCGCGCACAAACTCGGAGTAGAGCTTCTTCACATTGGCGCCGACCTTGGTCACTTGTGTCTCAAGCATGCGGCCAGTTTCCTGCGGAGAAGTAGTCCAATAATTTGAGCAGGGGTTTGTGAGGGTTAAGCTGGATTAAGCCAGGTTTAGGGAGGAGTTTCACAGCTCCAACTTTTCGGCCCAACTTGCTGAGCTGATTCGAGCATGCAGCGGGAGAGAGGGCTTCAGGTTTCAGCACGCGTTGAGTGTAGGTTGGGTACGAGTTTTAGGCGCAGCAGACAGGGATGAATTTATGTTGAGAAGGGGGATTGAGGAGAAATCCGCAAGGAGGCATTGCGACGGTACTAATCCGCAAGGAGGCATTGCGACGATACTACGGCATCGGGTCAATAACGAATGCAGATAGGAGATTGAAAGGTGCGGAGTCGTGCAAGCCATGTCAGTAGCTCGTTGTTCACGTCTGTAAACGACAGAGCAAAGAAATTTGCAAGGCTCCCCAATCGAAGACAACTGGACACCTACACAACAGAAAGCTCTTAGACCACACTCCTAAGCCGTTCAGAAGCATCAGGCTCATTGTTTTCTACATGTTGAAAGAGATTTTTCCCTGTGCCATAATCCTCTAGACCAGTCACTCCTACAAAGTAAAGCAGTAGAACAAAGCCTCAACCCTCCATTGTCTGTTGGAATCGTAGGTCCACCCTTGGTCCCTTTACAAACAAATGTTCAAGATGTATATACAATCTACATAAAGAGAGCAACCTGACCATATGCACCAAACAACAGAAGCAACTTTGAGATTATTCCAGGAGTTGCAAACATGTCATGGCAGGCCCGCAACGTACCGGCCCAGCCTAGGAGCAAATTGTCTTTTTTCTTTATGTGTCGCAAAGGGCAGTGAATCGCACATATAAACAATGAGGGCTTGGAATGCAGCGAGTCTAGCTTAGAAGCTTTTCCTCGTCTCATTTTACAAACTGAAAGAAGGACGCTTTTCCACTTAGTAAAGCGCCCCAATTCCGCACTGTAGACTGACTTTCGCCCTCATTACGGAAGATTATTGCACTCCTCAACTTGTCATTTTTGAGGTTCTTCAAGTCTTGAAAACCATGCCCACGTGTGAATGCACCACCCCTCCTCTGTATTCACAGGGTCCCTCTTTGATCCTTCTTAACGGAAGAGGCTTTCTCCCACCTGCTTTAAACAGAGGGGAACCTTCCACCTTTGGAAAAGTCCTGGTGAACAAGAATGGAACCAGGCAAACAGGCCTTTCCAAAGTAGATACTTCGAGCTGGTAAACCCGCCTAGCAGTAATGCCTCTTTGGCCTATGTAACAGATTCTGAAGCACAAAAAGTGCGGTCAAACTGGAAAGCTCACTTACAAAATCTCTCACAACAGAATTACTTTGCTTCGTTCAAAGTAACACCAGAGAAGCTAGGCCCTAGCCTTACCTGTAAGAATACGCTCCCTCCCTGCTCCGTCTCGTATAGAGACTCCAGCTTTGTCTGTACGCGGTCCAGCCAGGACCATGAGCCCTGCTGACTATTCCCAGTGTGGACCATGCTCTTGGGCTTCATCGCACTCCCTCTTTGGCAGATTTCAGGTTTGGACAGCTGTCACCCTCGTTGCCAGCTACTGAGCTCTGCCTTCTGTCGCCGTTGTGAAGACAGCTCTCGCTTATGCAAGGCTGTCAGCACTACTGTAAGGAGCACCACCGCTGTTTCTGGCCAACGTGACCACTGACTCTAGAAACTTTTTTGGTAGAACCTCAATGCAGACAGCTGTCACCGCTGTTTGGACAGCTGTCACTGCTGCTTCTGACGGCTCGCTGCGCCCCTTGTTCCTTGCCCGGAGGGGCAATGGAGAAGTTGCGCTTACTCGTTCAGTCCTTCCAAGTATGAGGCGGTGCGCCTGAATTGGCCACAAGCAATGGAGCAACGCCGCCGTTTCGGACACCACTCCGCAATCCTCGGCCCTATATAAAGCCAATGCTGTTCGCTCGCTGGTCGCAATGCTCTGCTAAGGGCAGAGTTTCGGGCTTGGGACCAAACTGGGGTCGTTCACAACAGGGTAACAAACTGCAGTGGCAGAGGTGCAGGTTAGAAGCAGCAGTGTGGCAACAACCTTGAAGTGCAAAATTCGGGATTGAGTAATTCGACCCATGTTTCTGAGTAGCTCCATTCATCGAGCCCTGAAAGAACAGGGCCCCATTGTCGCTTTGTACATGTTGATTGAGAGTCTGCGGCCAATGATTTTGTGCATTCTAAGAAAAAGTTGTTTAGGAACATCATTGGTACAACTTTGTGCAGAAGAGGTTTGAGTTAAGGATGGTGAAAAAGATACTTTGTACCAACTGAATCAACTCCTTCCAAACAAGACTTGTGGTCATGTCCTTGTTTAGGCTTGGGATTCGTCCTGTCGCGTTTTCTTAACAAAATGAACTGAGCAGGTCTTGTGAAAAAATACAATAAGCAGAAATTGCTGCTGCCATACACATGAGGTCTCATTGTTACAAGGGGCTCTCAGTCACAACTCCTCTGAAAGAAAGCAAAGAAAATACTTTGCAATTCAGGTCACTGGAAGAGAGACGTAAACAGCTCTGACATTGATGCTCTAGCGAGCTGGATAGGGCCTAAACCGGTCTCAGCAAAGGAGTATATGTTTTAAGACATTGCAAAGGATAGCCTTGAAAAAACCAATGCTGCGCAATTCAAGCCTTGTGTGACCAACACTTTCTTCAAATACTCCAAACGGGGCTTTGCACGTACTCAGCAAGAGCACACTTCAGAGGACACTTCAAAGCGTTGCAAAAGCATTAATAATCTGATAGGAGTGCCAACCACCTACGTACAGCTTCTCTAACTTTGAAGCCACAGCAAAGGATGCCTGTATGGGCTAGGAAAAGTCTTTCGAAACTCTTAGGAGCTGAAAAGTTACTCACAGGAAAAACAAAGCCGCTTTTGAGAGTGTACGTTTGTCATGCAGAATACAACGTGAAGCTAAGTATGCGTGGAAAGATGGACGGGGAGTGAACGAGGCAAGAACTAGCTGAAACTTTGATAGGACATGAGCTGCAGGCTACAGTGTCTATGAATGAGAGCAGGCAAAAACCAAAGGAGAAGGACAAGTGGCCTACCAAATAGAGAGCCCTCACTCCTTTCAAAAGTGACTGTCAGGTGTGCTATATTACTTCACTTGAAAGCACCGCCAGTGACCTTTCTAAGCGATAACACCGAGAGGACACCACTCGTCCAAGGAACCACTTGTCCATGGAGCTGCTGAACAAGAATACAAGCAAAACGCTGGCTGTTCACAGAGCTACTAGAGACTTGGGGAATTTCCGCAGCCACACCTGAACAAGCAGACAAGGAATGACCTTCCTACTCACCTTTTCTAGGGCAGCGCTGTGTGACGGTCAGCCTGTGTCCGCTGCGAGGGAGTTCTTTGACAGCTTGACGCCAAAGGCAAACGGCCGCATGCAACAGCCAGAACTGCTGCTGCTGCTGCTGCTGAAGCGCAGCCAGGCTCTCAACTGGCCCCCTGTATCTGGCAGAGGTAGCACGGCCCTTCGCTTTCTTGCCCCTTGCTCGCATGCAAAGAGATGAGTCGGACTCTGGTGTCGCCCAATCAGCTTCCTAGAGCCGTCGATTGCTGATGTCAGCCTTGCGGTTACCGAATATGACTCCACCTCTAACAAAAGTGGATTGGGATTATTCTCACTACAGTCTTTATGGTGCAAATTATTTCGCGAGCCCCTTCAAAAGAGATCGAGGTTCAAGGGCATGATGCAGGGGCGGCTTGGTACTCGACAATAGCTTCAAAGTGAATACGCTATTTTGAAGCTTCCAAACCCCGCGCAATCATCATAAGAGGCGACCGCGCTAGAACAGTCCGGCCGCGACGGGCCGTCTAGCTCCGAAGCGGCGCCGCGGCCGCCCGGCGCGCGGGTAGTCGCCGAGACGGCATGCAATCACGTATACGGCGATCGAGCTTATTACAACACCTTGCTACAACTTAGCTACTTATACTATGAAATGAGGTCTGGGCGCCAGCAGTCTTTCGCTGTCAAGGACAGACTTCGCTGCTCATAATTTACATGGCAGAGCAGCGGTCGGGGGGCGGTCGGTGGAGATTCCAGGACCAATCATTGCACAGGGAGAACGAGGGGAGAACAGGCGGTGCATCGTTAAACTTTTCGGTCGATTCTAGAAGCGTTGGCTCTGCTTTGAAACAAGAATTCTCTCCGACGGTCTGTCCTGAGTTGAGTTGAAAGCAGTACCATCAAAGGTTGAACAAAAGCTGATTGGTAGTACTGGTGTGAGAAGGACAATCGGCACAAAGTCTGCCTCGACCAAAAGCTTCCCTTTTTATTGACGACAAGCGGCGGGCTGCTTTTCATTTATTTTTTTATTCTTTGTTTTTCCCGAATAGGCCTTCATAATAACAGGCCAACAGCGCTTAACATCCGATCCACGCCGTACCAAACAGACACCGTGCTCAAGGTGACGCGCACTCCCTGAGTCGACAATGTGGCGTCAGCTGCACACCCCAATTTGAGTGTCACGTTTTCTGAGCTAGTAGTCGTACCCAGAGGAATATTCCGGGCCCAATGTTGACAGAAAGAGGGACAACCTTCAAAACCCTCCTCGGCGCGTTGAGTTAGTTGCTCGGCAATGCTGCAGCTGTTTTGGGCACGTCTACAGAAGGTTGAACTCGAAGTTTGAAAATTACGATGGTCGATGTCCAGTCAGATAGGTGAAGCGGATGTCATGAGTGCGCGCCGGCGTGCACCCACGAGAGGTAGAAACTAGGTATGGGACGCTTTATGGGGATTTCGCCTTCCTTCATTGGTGTGCGCTTAGTTCGAGGAGAAGCGTGCATTGGATCCTGTTGCTACTCAATCGACAGCTTCATTTTGCGAGTGCATGGGCGTGATCGAAGCCCCTTGAGAAAAAGGAAGGAGGAGTTTCTGAGTTCAGGAGGTACGCGTTGTGGTGTTAGACAAACACGTTGAGATCGCAACAAGTCTTGTAAAATCCAAACTTGCTCTGTTGGTCCGCTCGCCTCAAACGAAGGCCACAGGCATTCCGAATGTGGTCATGCACATGCGTCACACAACATGCAGACATTCAAAGCTGATACGGGCTAGCACGACGAACTTCTTGACCTTCACTTGGGTCCCTTACGTGCCCCGTCTCTATGAGTACGTCCTTCTCTTTACGTCAACTTCGAGCGGTAGAATCGGTTGTTCGTCGTCTCGGATTAACACAGGAGTATTTGGCCCTTAACCATGGATGGTTATGAGCTGGCTATGGGCTGGTAGAGAATGGTTATGTGTCCATTGACCAGACTTGGGCGGTAACCAGCCCCGGAACTTGTTTAAAGCCGGGTTAACTGTCTAGTAACCAGAGAATCGGTCTGGTAATCCGCCTGGTTAGAAGCCAGAGCTTCCTGTAGATTGGTTCGTGAGTTGGCCTCCGAGCCGAAGTAACCTTGTTGACTTGATGAAGAACGGATTTTCTACGATTCCCGCAAGCAATTCAGTCCAGCTGACGTAACGCCCGGGTCAGATCACGTGTCAACGTTGAACACTGGACAGCAATGATGTGCTTCTTCAGCCCTTGGTTCGAGCAAAAGGACTTTGGCCAACCGGCGACCAATAGCGAAGGAGCGTAGTCTCGAACACTCCGCAGACTTAGTTGGCGGGCTGGTATTATCAGGGCTGAAGGCGCCGCTTTTGCATTCAACATCTCAACAGCTTTTCAAAGGCGCATTTTCCCACGTGACCGCATCAACGACTTTCCGGCAGCATTCGTCAAGCTTCCAGTCACATGAGGAGATTTCGCTATCGTCTCCAGACCCATGTGGATTTTCTTTTGTGGTAAATTCTTGGAAACGTGCACTGTACAAGACCAATAATCCACTGACGAGCTTGGGTCCAACCTACGACTCGCTTGCTTACTTCTGAACCCACACGAAGTAATTAAGTTGATTTCTTATCAAACTCAAGAAAAATACTAGTAAGCCAAGATAATAGTATGGTAACCACCTGGGACGGGTAGGGTTAGTCTGGTGGTTAGGGTGGGTACTGGTGCGGAACGGGTCTCTTTTTGGGTTAGGGTTTTAGTGTTAGTCGGAGCTTCCTATTATCTTGGCTTACTATTATCTTTCTTGAGTTTTATTTATTTCCGTATCGAGGGAGTTGTTGCGTGGTTGCAGAATTGTTCGGCTGTGCGGCGTCATTACTCCCGTGTGCTCATCACGAAACCGCTGACGGCTCACTGGTCATCCAGTCCTAGTGGCAAATTGCTCTGTTGGTCTTGCCCTTATACAAGCCGGTCGCTCGAACTTGACGTACGGACGACTCTGGAAAACGCAGATATCGATCGTGCCCGTAAAAAGCTTCCCATTGAGAAGTAGAATATTTCTGTAGAAACTCAACTTGATCAGATCGGTCGTCTAAGCTAGTGCTTTTGCTGAGCATCAGAGCTTTTGAGTTCATCAAGCTGCGTCTAGAGGACGATTTCACCTCTGCAGAAGCTTCCTCCTAGAATCAAGGCCGGCGTTTCTTTGGCTTTTAAAAAAGCCTGCTCAAAGACGTTTCACTCTGCCGCTTGTTCTCGAGATTGGCTCCCACAGCAAACTCGAAATCTGCTTCGCTGTGAGACACCATATGAAATGATCAAATGATAAAATTTGTAACTCTGACCTGTTTAAAGCACCGAAGCAAAGATCTGGATGTAGGAACTTCTGGCCCTCCTTTGCGCGATGCAATGCGTTAGGGATGAGATCCTCAATCAGGAGAGCTCTGTAAGAAAAGCCGCATGTAAGACATCGCCGTTCGCGGGCCTTTCGAGAAAGAACATGGCAACACGCACGAACCAGCGAGAAAGCTTCCCATTCTCCTACGCCGAAAGGTGACGCCACATGCGCTTGCCACGTCTTTTTCCATGTGGGCATATGTCCCGCAGAACCCTTGCCAAGTTAGCCTTTCCGCACGTCAGAGGATGAGACGCTATTCCAGGGACGGCGTCCTTCGACGCGGTAAGGTTTCGAACTGTGGGCGCCCATCGATCTCACTTCGTCGTCGATGCCAGTTTGCTTCAGAAAACCAGGCCCGCTGCAAGTTGTGTTCTGTGTGCATTTCTGGCTCGACAGAGTAAGGGCAAAAGTTTAGAGAGTTGCCATTGAAAGTGGCTGTAAAGAGGCGCCAACCCAAGGTACTGCGGCTCAAAACTATCTTCAGCTCTGGCAAGTTCTTCACAGAGAGTCCCTCTTCGCATCCTAAGCCTCTGACAAATCACCTTTCTGACAAGTTGCCTCCTCAATTCTTCCCAGAATGGCAGGCCGCAAGCGCTCTTTTGCCAGCCCATTCTTTACCCTTCTTCCCACCTCTCTCACAGCTCTGTGTCTCTTCTGCTTTCCTTCTTCCTCCGCTCTCCCTCTGCCTCCCTCAACAGACTCTCGCGTCAGCCCAGCGATCAACCCTTCCGGCGCTTACGACCCCGACGCTTCCGGTGTGTCCACCGGTTACAACACCACAAAACCGGGAGGTGTCTGGACCGTGGTCACTACCAAGTCCGGCGTCTCGGGGGTTCACTGGGTGATCACACCGATTGTCAACACGCTGGTGATGATCGATCGGAGCGACAAAAACAACAGCTACCTGACGCTCCCCGACGGCCGCCCCTCGGTCGCGTGCGCGCACGATTTGGCGAACCCCGCGGCCGCGCCGCGCGCGCTGGACGTCATCTACAACGCGTTCTGCTCCGGGGGGCTGTTTTGGCCCAACGGGACACTGGTGGTGCAGGGGGGGTACCAGGAAACCAGCGGGTCCGACATCGGCTACAACGCGGTGCGCAATCTGGATCCCTGCCCTGCGAATGGCACGTGCGACTTTTATGAGTACAAAGGTGAGGGCGCCGTGAGGAGAGGCTTTGCTCCTTCGTTCAGAGGAAGGGAAGTTGTGAGTATTGGAGATCTTCATGGCTGTGAGCTGTTCTTGACGCTTTGAAAGCGTTCTGAATCTACCGGGTGTGATGGATCAGTCCTACTGATGCAAGCTGCCTAGAAGGACGGATGAACTCATCATCCGAAGACGTACCCTGATCTTTTCGACAAGCAAACAGAAGCAAGGAAGCCGAGGGAATAATCTGAGGGTGGCCTCAATTGCTGGCGCCGCACAAAGAAAGTGATGGATCTTCCAGATTCTGCACGCATCTCCGAACATTCTTCTGAAAGGAATCTCAGAAGAGGAACTCGTGCTTTCTGGTGACTGATACAAGAGAAGTTGGAAAGTTGGGTCCAAAAAACGGGTTGAATGTATCCCTGAATGATGTTTCAATGGTACCCCGAAACATCATTCAGGGTACCATTGAAACCTGGTACCCTTTCATCATTCCTGTTATCTGCTCGCCAAGGCTTTTCAGAGCGCATCAATGATAGCATCGAGAAAACGTCTCTGTTTCACAGTCATGTAAAACAGGCTTGTTCCGCTTTTGGACATGGCTAAATGCTGCCGACTTGAGGTGAGCATCGGAGTTCATTTGATGAACGTCAAGTCATCCACGGAGGCGGGACGGAGCATCCGGTTGAGGGATTTCGTGTAAGAATTGGATCTGCACCTTCTTCCGCTGCCCAAAATAAATCCCTATGTACGAGGACGCAGTGCTTCCTAAACCCGTGCGCGTGCCGTCGCTGAAATAAACCCCAGCTTCCAAAACTCTGGACCAATAGCTATCTTTCGCTCACGTCTTTGTGGCTCATCTTGTGCCAGGTGTCACACTCCTGGCGAAGCGCTGGTACCCGACCGCCCACATAATGCCGGAAGGTGACCGGTTGATCCTGATCGGGGGATCCACTCAGGGCTTCATTTTCCTCATCGATGATGAGGAATCCAACTCGGCGACGTACGAGTTCCATCCTCGGACCAAACCGGCGGATATGAAGGTACGTGTCTCTGCTCGAGTGTACCTCTCACGGCTTACACTTTCGATACGGCGGTAACAAGTCCGGATCTGGAAAGAAATGGATTCTGTGACTCAAGAACAATTGGTGCAGCAGCAATCGAACCAGAAGCTAGGTGAATTACATTTGTTGAACGGTGGTGACAAGTCCGAGTTTGGAGAAATAGGAACAAGTCTGTGACTCAAGATCAGGGCAACGTTCGAACCAGAAGCGGGTGTTCATCTGGTGTTGCGGCGGTTGGATATGATCTGGTCTTCAACGTTCAACAAAATTCTTTCAATAAGTTTATTGGTGTTTCAATTTTCTTCAATCGAAGGACAGCTGTCTTCACCGAAGGGGTTATTCAAGAATGGATGCGAATGCCTTTTTTGCATTTGAAAACCCTTATTCCGCTCATTCCCGTTTACGAATTTTGTAGAATTTTGCGTTTCAAGTGTCTGCCCTGACCTCCTCTGGAAACAGCGAGACAAGATTTCTTAATTTCCGTCTGACACGTGTCCTCGTCTGCAACAGCTCCGCCCCATGCCGCTGCTGACGCGCGCGTCCCCGGCCGTGCTGTACCCGTTCCTGCATTTAATGCCCAACGGCTACTTCTTCGTGATGGCCAACACCCAGGCGGTGCTCTTCAATTTTGACACGGGGGACGAGATCCTTCTACCGGATATCCCGGGCAAGATCTGCCGGTCTTACCCCTGGGCCGGTGGGGCTTTTCGTCAGCTCGGTTGATTGCTTTAGTTTCCTGAGACCAGTTGTTTTCGTCATAGAGAATATTGTCGCTAACCAGGCTGATCAGCGGACCTAAGTGTCATATTGTTGGACAATCAAACGGGCCTTTTTAGGACTTTTTACTGCCCAATTCCACTTTCTAACCAGCTTACAATCATCCATGTGTAGGGGCAAAAAACTTCTGGCGTTAGAGGACGACCCAATCAATCGTGTGGTCAGAATGTTTTCTTGTCGGGGTTCTCATCCTCTTCGGAAACCAGCCGATAACAAAGATTTCGGGCCAAGATCTGAGCACCTTTGTGTTCCACTTTCTTCACTTGCCTCCAAGAACCTGATTCTTGAGTCGGGAAGATAACTGAGAGTAACCCCCTATCAACGCATTTAGCTGCGCTAAACATTCGATGTCGCAGACACTGAATCTCAACCCACATCGTCTCTCTCTCGGGTGGCGATACCGGGAGTTTTTGCCCACCTATTCCTCGCCCGCGCAGGTTCCTCGGTGCTCCTTCCTTTGTCCTCCGCCAATAACTACACGCACGAGATCCTGGTCTGCGGTGGCTCTCCTTTTGACAATGACATGTCACGGGACAAAAAGGCGTCCGATTCCTGCGGACGCATCCGTCCGCTGGACGCCAACCCGCAGTGGGAGATGGAGACCATGCCGGACGCCCGCATCATGCCGGACCTCATCATGACGGCGAACGGACAGGCGAGTGGTTTCGAAGAATGGGCGGTCGTTTATCCTGGCATCACAGAAGCTAGCACTGGAGTTGGCAGCTTGGAGCGAGTGAATCCGCGACGAAAGTTTCTGGTTTGATTCCCTAGCGCTTTGATCTTGCGAGACCATTCAAATGGTGCTTGCTGCAGTTAAGGGATGGTTGTAAGATTCGTCTTCCGAAATGCTCGTTTAGAGACCCCATCGGGGTTCGTCTGCTTTTCTTTCCCAGATCCCGCTTTCGATGTGAATGCGTTTCGTTACGAAGTTTCGCCCCCCGCTCGATGAATCTTTCGAGATTCCGATCCCTGTTTACCGCAAAGCAGTATTTACCCGCTGACCCCGTCAAGCCGTATCTCGTCCTGCTTGTGAAAGCTTGATTTCCCCCAAACAGCAGGTCCTAAAGCACGGATGACTGGAGAACGTCGAGCACTCTGTTCTCTCGCAGCTCGAATATGGCGTTAGAGTTTGCAACTCCAGGTTTACGTTCAGTCAGTAGTACCTATTTCAATTCCGTTGGGCTTACAGGTGGTCATCGTGAACGGCGCCCGGCAGGGCCGCGCCGGCAACTCCAACGGCACCTCATTCGCCCACAACCCGGTCCTCACGCCCGCCCTCTACAACCCCCGGGCGCCGAACGGCACCCGGTTTACTAACCTTAACCCAACCACCATCGGACGGCTGTATCACTCCCTCGCAACACTGGGCCCCGACGGCGCGATACTGATCGGGGGGAGTGCCCCTTATGATTGCTGCCCCGGGTGCGGGCCCACGTGCTACGAATCATATGGTTACACGTGTACCAACGCCCCAAACGCGGACTGCTACCCGAGCGAGTACACGATCGAGCGCTTCTTCCCGCCATACTTTTTCAACAGCGCCGTGCCACAGCCCGTCATAAGCAGCGCGCCGGCCGGCATCGCGTATGGGCAGGCGTTCAAGGTGGTGTTCCGGGTGCGGTCGGGGCTGACCGCGCCCGCGGTGCGCGCGGCCATTGTGAACCCGGGCTTCGGTGAGTGTTAACAGGTTTCAGGGGACTAGGGTTCTAGGGTTTTGAGGAAGAAGGCTCTTTTCCAACGGTTAGTCTGAATCAAAGCGCGCCGTTTGGACAGCGCCCGCTCGGCTGATTGCGCAGGGAAGCCGTTTGGCACGGAGACTTGAAGCGATTGCGACCTCGAACTGTCTCTTTTGGTAAGAATCATTAGTTCGTCTCATCATCGAGGAACGGGTGGAAGTCAAGAGGACCCTCGAACCAACGTGCTTATTGAAGCCGGCTCTGGCGAGATGGCCCTTGCAACTCCTCTCCGCAACTAGACTTCAGCTGCGAAGTATACAAAGGCCACGAGCAACGATTGACCCTTCGGTGTTGTTGAAAACGGCTCCACTGAGGTGCTGATTAGTGCACCCAAAGAACGGAACGAAGTGCAACCCTGCAAACAGAAAGGTGCCCATCCTAGTTTTTCCCGCTGCAGGCACGCACTCTCAGCACATGGGCCACCGCTTCGTCTGGCTGGACATCGACTACGCCAACCTCACCTACTCCAAATCTACCGGTGACGTCACCGCCTCCGTCACCGCCCCACCGAGCAACCTCATCGCGCCCCCCGGCTACTATTACCTCTTCTGCCACGAATCCAACATTCCATCGAAGTCCGTGTGGGTGCAGCTGACGTAGGTAGTGCACGAGCTTCGTGGGTGGTTGTCTTGAGGACCTGGGGTGACGTAAGGATGACGTAGGATATTTTTGAACGCAGGAGAAACAGGCTACTTTTTCCATATAATAACTATACGTGTTATCTATAAGATGCTGCTGGCTACAGGGAAGGCTGGAGTCCGTTTGGTTGTTGCTGGCGGCGAGGAAATCGTTTCGAGTTGTGCTCGCAGAACAGGAAAAGTTGGAACAAGTTGGTGTTCTCTTTGACGCTGCAGAATTGCGAACTAAGGAAGGAGTCACCCTCTTCGTAATGAAAAGCGACAAGACGCTTCAAACAGAGACGCCGCCACATAGTACGTAGGCACTTTAGTGCAATTTGTGCTTCTTTTGACTCCTATTATTGGCCCATACGTACATGTGAGAGGCAGCTCCGACGTCGAGGCTCGAAAGCTGAGCTTGGTGGATCGTACGTGTGAACCGCGGTGGCCCTCGGTATGATCCTCGCGTGCAACAATTAGGGTATGGTTGATCATGAGATGAACCAAAATCAACAGATCGAGAGAGTTGATGCATCACATGGCGTTATGTCACCAATGCCGCGCATGCACGTGTCTAAACCATGCACTACATCTGGGACAACCAAGATGTGGTCCAACTCATTTAAGATTTTAACTTAAGTAAGTTGTACATAGGAGCAGGCACTCCTGCGATCTCGCAAATCAGTGTAAAGATTGCATGCCATGAGAAACTTATGGTCGCACCGGCGTGAGCTGCCACATGTCCTCACGAAAAGAAGTTATTCTCAACCGACTTTGGCCTCCTACAGGTTTGCATGAAGACGTTCGTGTTAGGGGCGGTAAAGTACATAAGAACACATTTGCCCAGCGTCGTCAAAACATATTGGTGCACGTGCCTGATCAAACATGATCAATTGGACATGCATTGAAAAACAAGTGAGATGTCGAATATGAAACTTGAGGAGCCTTGAGGAGCCTTGAGGAGCCTCAGAGAATATCGAAAAGTACATGTGGAGTGTTTATTGGAGTAAATCCGTCTGAAATATCTCTTGGAAAAATGGGTTATTGTCTCGTCCTCTACGACTCGCGCGCAGCCAACCTGCTTTGCGTTCTAGCTGCAGACTGAAGGCATAGGTACGACTCTAGTACAGACTCTGGCAAGTAACTCATTATGGACTCTCAAGCATACTGGGGTCAACGCGACTTCTAAGATCAGCCTACTTCAAATCATCTGGCGACCAAGCGAACCCATTTCGCGCCCCTAAACCTCGCTCGGAATCCATGTTCAACCAACAAATCTTAACCCTGCCGTTAGCTAGGTCACGTCATCCTTTAGTTGGACTGATAAGTGATGCCCTCACCGCACCCGGTGTCGCTAGTGCCGACAGGGTTCCCGGAGGCTGGGAACTTCGCCTTGATGGCTTCGATCGCGGCCGACTGGGCGTTGAACGCGACCTGGGTAATGGTTCCGGGAATCCCGCTGGGCAGGAACAGTGCGCTGCCGACCCTCTGCGAAAAATTGAGAAAGTGTGAGCCGCACGATAAGCATGCTTCAAAACATCGGACGGTCGAAGACCGTTAGCAGAATGCGACCTGGGTAATGGTGGTCGGAATGCCGCTGGGCAGTAAAAGCGCGGCGGCTGCCGACTCTCTGCAAATATGAGGAGAGGCGTGAGCCGATGGATTGG